AACCTGTCCCACCCATTTCTCCACTCAAGTCTGGGTGCAGGACCTGGTCTCACACACCTTCATATGGCCAAGTGTCTCGCTTGAAGGATGCTACCCGTTGTGTGTGGGAGACGACACAGTGCAGATCTCAGTGAGAATGCTTGTACAGTAGGACACGCAAGTTCAGGGGCAGTCAGAAGGCTCAGGCTGCCAGTAGTGTAAGATGACCAGGGCTGGTTAAAAACTGCAGGCAACGTGACCATGTGGGGCTGTGACCACAGCCCAGGACTGAGAGGTAAGGGGGTCTGGACTGAAGTAGCTGCCGTGGGTGAGCAGAAAAAAGGGATAACATGCATAAGGGATGGCAAAGAATTACCAGTGGGACCTGGACCCGCCTACAGCAGCATTCCTAGGACAAAGAAACCACAAAGACTGTCCTTAAAGACATTTATTGTCAGGGTGCAGAGGTCGCGGCATCACGACATCTATGAAAACAGGGTAGAAAAACACAGGCTTTGCAGGAAGAGATGATCATGTCTCCACGTGATGACAGCAGCCACAGCACACGTCCTCCTAGCCACCGAAGAGGTCTTTGGGTACTCACATTTCAAAAGCCATTAGGTTGGAACGATCATGTTAATCCGCCTTTTTGGTTCTGGTAAAAATTTCAGACAGTGTGCCATTTACTATTTATTTATTTTTGCATGCTAAAGCCAGCCCCACGCGTCTTGCTGCTCAGCACTGCCGCCGCAGGGCTCCGTGCACCCTGCTCTCTGGGTCTAGGCAAATCTGAGGCGATTCAATTGACTCTGCAGGACGTGCTCATTAGCAGATGTGTGATGTTCTACTACCTTCTCCAGAGCCACAGCACCTCTATTCCTTCTGACATAGTTTCACTAAGGGCCTGACCAAATCATTGCCCAGCCATTCGCATCACAGGGAATTAACTGTAGGCGCTCCAACACAGAAATAAATCACAGTGGGGAGAAGAGAGCAGGGGCAGGGGGTGCTGAGTGCGGAGGGGGTGTGAGCAGGTCCTCCGGCAGCCCCAACCCCCAACAGAAAAGAGCAGCTTCCAGTTTGATCAAGTTCAATCCCAACTGTTTTCAAAGAGAGGCTCCAATGTTTTAAGGTCTGCAAACCACTCACGTAGTTTCATTCCCCTCTTACTCAGATGAGGACACTGAGGCCCAGAAAGTGAAGGGGACTTGCTCGGGGTCACACAGCAAACCAGGGAGAGATATGCAAATGGACCACCTGTTTCCAGATTCCCAGGGCAGCCTCCTTCTGCCGTGACTCCAACCCAATATCTTAGGTACAGAATGGCCAGGCTTAAAGGCAGAAAATCCAACTCTAATAAGGATTCCAAAATGTAATAATGCTCAATGTGAGTGGCATGAGAGTGTGCTTTAGAAGTTGGGATAAACCTTGGTAAAAGTCCCTGAAACCTGTGGGATTGGCAGCATCTTCTTTAACACAGTTCTGGAATTGCCCCGAGAAGCAGCACCAGGGAGCAGAAAGGGTGGCAAGGAGGGCCAGGCGCCCCGAGTCCTGGTCCTACTCAGAGGCCTTCAGACCTTGGGCAAGTATTATAGCTTTACCACCTAGAGCCTAGTTTCTTCATCTGCAAAAGGGAGGGACACTAACACCTGCCCCGGCCACCCTCCCAGAGTTAGGACCACGTCTGGGGAAGAGCTTCATGAATGCAAAGGCTAGTCCACAATAAGCGATCCCAATTCTGACTGTAAAAAATTGTAATCACCTGGAGATCAATTTTTTTTAGACCAGACAGTAAATATTTTCTTTTCCTTTTTTCACTAAAAAAGACAAAAAGAAAGCCTTATTCCTGGATGAGGCCAAAATGTCTATAAGTAAAATGTATTCTACTACACTCCAATTCCACAGCCCAGAGAGAACACTGGCCCCCTTTCTACAATTGGTGTCCAGAAGCCAGGTCTCCAAGGCACCCCTGGTTAGAGAATGCGGGGCTACCAAGTGGATGTTTTGGTCTCCAAACGCCCAGCCAGGGGCTCCTGAATCTGGGAAAGCATCTAAGACTACATCTCTTTAAAATGGGAAAAAGGCAGGAATAGAAGAGCTACAGCCAGCTGTCCACACCCTTATATGAGCAATGGAATTTGTTTTTGAAGGAATACCATTTCTAAAAGAATGCTAAGACCACACTTCCTGTATTTTTTCCATAGGGCCATCTTTCTCCAGGATGGCAGGGCTAGAGGGGACACTGGTAATGTCCAGTCCAAATGCCACACTTCCAGGTGAAGAGACCAGGGCCCAGAGAGGGGGAGGGACCTGCCCGGATCACACAAAGTTAAGGACAGGTAGAGGAGAGCCAGGACCCTCCTCCCTCCTTCTACAGCACATGCTAAGTCACAGAGCACCGACTAAGAGGTCACAGACAAATGAGGTAAAGAGTCACAGGTGACACATGCCTTGTTTTGAGCCCTTTAGAGTTGCAAACATACCATTATGTGAGCTCCCTGGGAGGGAGTGATTAAAAAAGGAATTCTCATGGAGCAATACATTTCAAAAGTATAAAAACCCACATGCACGTCTGTTTTCCCGTTTGCCCTGCTAAAAACTACATCTGCATACGAATCTAGTTTGCATCTAATTGTTAAAAACATACAAAAGGGGTCTTCTACAAACACAGTTTTTTCAACTCTTCACAAAGCACAAAGATCCATAACTTGACTTTTCCATCATCCTGTGATCAATGTTTCTAAGACCCTGGGAAGAAAAGGAGAGGAAAGAATTAGAGAAAAGCAGCCTGCTGTGTTACAATCAACTGTGTGCTATATGGAAGGCGGGGGAACAGTCCCTAACTTCAAACCTCTCCCTCGCAAGGAATGAGCCAGTGAGGAGTGCAAGTGCACTATGGGGACCCAAGAATACATTTAAGACCAATGAGTAGATGTTTCAGACTCCAGCTTAATAAGAGGAAGAACTTTTCAACCATTGGAAAATCCAAACATGGTTGTCTAGGTGGTGGTAGTGAGCTCCACATCACCAGAGGTATGCAAGCAAGAGCTGGCAATACTACATGTTACACAGGGAACTCTAGACCTGGGCAGCAGTGATGTTCTCAAAATTCCATGATTCTTCTTGGCTTCCTTTTGTTTTTTTCCTTTTTTTAGAAACAGGGTCTTGCTCTGCTGCTCAGGCTAGAGTATAGTGGCAGGATCATAGCTCACCGTAATCTTGAGTTCCTGGCCTCAAGCGATCCTCCCACCTCAGTTCCCAAGTACCCAGGACTACAGGCACGTACCACCACACCTGGATGACGTTTTTATTTTTGTAGAGATGGGAGTCTCACTATGTTGGCCAGGCTGGGCTCGAATTCCTGGCCTCAAGCAGTCCCACTTCGGCCTCCCAAAGTGCTGGGATTACAGGTGTGAACCACTGTGCCCCAGCTATTGGCTTCCTTTTGAAATATCATCTATAATAGACTTTATTCACACTCCAGAATAATTTCCGTCATTGTGTGTATATATAAATATTATAGATATATATTTTAAACATGAAACATATTACCTATCTACATAAAACAAAAAAGTCAAGTATCGAGAAGGCAACTTTAAGATCTGATCTCCTAACTCTTTGTTGACATCCTACTTCAGTTTTACATTTTCATATTTTTCTCCCCATGTCTAGGGCCTCTAACTACTCACATACACCCGTCCTTCAACCCCACTGCCACTTCCTTGCGATTCTCCCTTTGTGTTCCCCAGTTCTGAGCTGCTTCCCCTGCCTCCTCCCATTCCTTGAGCCTTGCATTCCTTGTATGTACTATAATAACGTTTACGCTTCATTTATCAGTGCATCCCTACAGACCTGATGTGAGGCCTTGCACACAGAAGACACGCAGTAATAGTGGCTAAAAGAATAATATGATTAAAACTATTGCAAAATCCTTCTGCTTTTAGGAAACGTTATCAGACCTGTTTCTAATTTTTCCTGCTCTATTAAGCGCGTGTGGGTGGGCCTTGGTGATGGTGTCTGTTCTGGACTGTAAGAGGATCACACATCCCTGCCCTGCGCCTCTGGTGTGAGGAGCACACACCCCGCAACTCCAGCCGCGCTGCGTGTGGCTGTGTGACTGCTCTGGCCAATGGACCGCAAGCAGGCACGGCACACGTCACACTTTAGCCGACGCCTTAAATGGATGGTGTGGGCGGCTCGGCCTCTAACTCGTCCCTTCTGCCTCAGAACAGACGTGTCCCACATTGCAGCTGCTCCTCCAGCCGGGTGCCAAATGGAAGGACACGTGGGGTGGAGCCACAGCCGAGCCACAGCTGTGTGTGACATGAACGTGAACAAGAGATAAATGTCTGCGGCTGTGAACCAGCAAGCTTTGGGGGTGTTATGCAGCCAAAGCTGGCTGACAACGTGCTTCATTTCCCAAGTTCATAGTCCACCTGTAGGCGGGGACAGATGCAACCACAGCTGTCACCTGTGTGTGACTGTGAGGAGGAAGAGCCCCTGGCCAGAGGAGATGCACAGACCACTCCGCCCCGCCCCCGCCCCGCAGGAGACGTGCTGCTGAGCAGCACACGGTGTTGAGGACAGGGAGGCGAGGCCCGGGGACAGAAGAGCTGCAACTCGAGGAAGAGCCCGGGAACACACAAAGAGCCCGCCCGTCTCACACGGACGTCGTCACAATGACACTGTCTGCTACCTGTCTCAGTGCGGTCTCCGGGAGGACCCAGAGGAAGTATTCCTGCAGCCTCAGAAAGAGAAAAACACAGCTGTGTTTTCATGTTACGGACACTCATCGCGTTCGCAGCTCGACTCTGCACGCTGGGAAGCCCAGGGTGAAACGTGTGCAGAACACACCAGAGGTTCTACCTGCGCATCTTAACACGCTCCTGCTGCTGCTTTCTCTCTGGTTTCCTCCACTTTGTATTTTTCTCCTATTTTATGACACATCTCATAAGCCATCTCAAATCTCTTGTGACGTGGGTGAAGGGATACTCATGACTTAGAACACGTACACCTCTGCATCACATGTGGTCATCTGGAGCCGGGAAGCGGGGGCTCTTGGGTTTACTCAGCTCGAGGACTGTCACTGTGCCGTGGGACTGGGCTTCCCCAACCACGTTGGCCGCGTGGCACTGGTACACGCCCTCGTCTTCCTTTCTCAGGGGGTTGATCTAGAAATACAACAGGCAGGTGTCTATAGTTACGTACGGCACAGTAAAAGGACCTCCTTGCTTAGTTCTAATGATCAGTCTGAACACTTCTTCCTTTCCAGAGTAAGACACACCTCGCTCTATTTCTCTTCTTGCTGTGGCTGCCAAGGAGCCCAGAGATAAAATTCCCTCTCAGGGACCCTCGTGAAGGGCACTCTCCCTATCGCGGCTCCATTTCAATAATCCCTCTGCACTCCTGCCTTTTACTGTGAGCTACCTCGTCCTTTTATTGAAGGCGACAGGTATAGATCATAAGGAAAATACCTCGAATTCAAAGAAGAACAAAAGTCTACTGACCAAAGAATGACCCACGAAGTGTTCCCTATCGGGGTGGCCTTTACAAACCACCAGAGATAACCCTTTTCCCCTCCCAATCTTTCCTTGTAAGAAAATGGCGGGTGTGCTTGATTTGAAACAGTCACAGACCCGACGGCATTCCCAGCCTCTCAGCTGGGGGGAGAAGAGCCACCACCCTCCCGTGGCCGCGGGTGGAATGAGGAAGACACCCTCAGAGAGCATCCCGAGGACGCGCAGAACCACATCCTCACACAGCTCACGCCTCTTTCGCTCTGTCGTGTGGTGACTGCCTCTCTCCATCGCATCCCCTACGGACCATGGGGTGGTCCGTGCGCGCCACCTCATTCTGAACTCCTGCGATCGTGGGTGAAGGGTGAGCACTACCACCTTCACTTTACAGGAGACTCCCAGCGCAGTCATGGACTGTAGGGCCACAAGGGCCGTCAGAGGTTACTCGATTGAAAGCCTTCTTTTTACGCTGGTGGAAACTGAGGCTCAGAGAGGTACAGGGACTAGCCCAACGTGGACCTATCTCCTCATCCCATCACTCTTTCGAACACGTGGCATCCCCCAGTCTTAGCCGAAATGCTGCGAGTGGCATAAAAGAACCCTGGAGGGGGACTTGAATGTGTCATCTTCCCTGTTATCAGCCACGGGATCCCAGACAGGCGCATTGGTTTTCCACTGCTGCTTTAACAAACTGCCACAAGCTTAGTGGCTGAAAACTAACAAATCTGTTCTCCACAGTGCTGGGGGTCAGAAGCCCAGGTGGGTCCAGCAGGCTAAAATGAAGGTGTGGGTAGGTGTGGGCAGGACTGCGTTCTTCCCGCAGGCTCTAGGGGATTTCTGTCGTCTTGCCTTTTCCCGTCTTGCCTTTTCCCGCTTCCAGACGATGCTGGCACTCCTTGGCCGTGTCCCCTTCCTCCATCTTCAAAGCCAGCGATGGCGGGGCGAGTCCTCCTCACGTTGCATCCCTCTGCCTCTGACTCTTCTGCCTCCCTCTTCCACATTTGAGGACCCACCTTTAACCTGGGCCGCCTGCAGGATCCAGGCTGATCCCCTTACCTTACAGTCAGCTGTTTAGCCACCTTAACCCCCTCCTCGCCATGGCACGTAAGCTGCCACAGGTTCTGGGGGTTAGGATGTGGACATCTCTGGGGGCTGTTACTCTGCCCACTGTAGCAGATCACTCGTGCTCTCAGGAGACACGCAACCTGCCCCACCTGCCTCCTAGTCACTGAAGGATCCAGTGAGAAATGGATAAGGACAGCTTTGAAACGTGTCACGTGTTACAGAAATATAAAAGGGTGGTTTTCGAGGTCTGTCAACAATATCCAATAATCCTGAACACTCACCAAAATCCAGGCGGTGGCCTCGTGGTCGGAAGGGCCCCCTCGCACCTGGACAGCTATGTTGACATGGTCCCCAGGCAACTCCTCCAGCACCTGGGTGCCCCCAGGGGACTGCATGACCTACAGAGGACAGATAAACCAGGAGAGGTTTAGGAAAAGTATTTCTAGATGAGGATGACCCCACAGGCCTCCCCACCCTCCTCCTGCCACTGACTCAAAGGCTGAAACCCTAGCATCTCTCAATTTTTATTCAAACGGCAGTCGCTTTTAAGCCTATTTGTGCGTACGGACAGCACCCCCTGCTGGACAGTGAGATGCCTGCATTACCGCTCTCTCGCAGAAGCAGTTCAGAACTTCACCACCCATCTCCGGGCTGTTGAGATAAAGGGACAACAGATGTGTGACCCTTGCCAGTCTCTCAAAAACTGGTCTTCTGGAAGATTTGGTTTTGGAATAGGACTGGGTGTCCTGCCACCAGCCGGGTCTGTCTAAAACACAGCTCCACGGGGAAGAAGGCTCTACGGTCACTGCAGCGGATGCAGGCTGGGTAACAACAGAGCTTTGGTGGCCACAGGAGGAAATGGCACGGGGAGGACTACAGCCCCCGCTTTCTAGGGAGAGCTCCGGGGTGGAAGTTTTTAGGCAGAGGAGTGGTACATAAGGTATCTTGTCTTAATCCTCTGGCCCACCTATAAAGACACAAACACAGACACACTTCAAAGAAAAAAGCCTTTACCACCCACATCCATCTTTCTGTTTCTCCCTGTCTCTCTCTCCCACATGCACAATCTCGCACGAGTTCTTGGGTGGAAATACCTTCTTCCACGTGATGACTGGCGTGGGCACAGCCCTCACCTCACAGGACAGGCACACCTGTGCCCCGGTGACGTTGTGGACGCTCTGGGGAGGAATGATGACCACAGGAGCTGGAGGAGACAAAGGGACAGTCTTTACCCTGCCAGCTTCCAAGCACCCCACCTCTGAAATCCTGCCTGCTGAGAGCCTGCGGGGGCATCCTGACGTGAGGGGCGCAGGGCAGATGCTCTCCAGACCCTCAGGCAGGAATCACAGGAGTCTTCCCCAGACCTGAAAGATGCCCACGGTTCCCTGACGCATCGCTTTTGTTTTATCAACAGGGAAACAGAAGTGCAGAGAGGAAAGGTGACTTCCCAAAGTCCCCTGGCGTGTCTGTGGCAGAGCCAGGTCTCAGCACACTCCCTCTGGGCCCCTTCCAGGCCCGGCTGCCATCTGCTTTCGGCTCTACTGAAGGACACGGTGGCAGACTCCGAGGGGGCCTGGCATCACGTCACCAACGGCAGAGTCTTCTAACAGATGGGCTTTTCTCCTTCCACGCAGAGGGCGGTGGGAAGGAGGATGCCAGGCAGAACAGCTGCAGCACCCTGGAGCTGAGGGCCCCCGCGGTGCATTCAAGACGCCCATTTGCATGCACAGAGCACACACCCCCCAAGGCCCCCCGAACCCTACACACCTCCCCACCGGCAAGGGCGCAACTGCAGACCTGGAAACCAGCGAAGGGACTGAAGAAGCCCAGCTGAGGCGAATGAAGAAGGAATCGGGCGAATGTGGGTTAGGCTGTCAGACGTCAGAGAGAGGAGGGGCAGGGTGTGGCTCTCCGGACAGGACCCGGAGTAGAAATTCTTAGCTCATGCTCCACACTCTGCCTTCCCCCGTGCCTGGCATCTGCTCTGCTCGCACTGGGCCGTAAGAATCATGTCCGGCCAGCTCAGCCTTCAGGCCCCATCCAGCAGCGCTCCACGTCCTGCCTCCCCTCTGCACGCCCCTCCACCGCCCCCACCTCCACAGCTGGACGCCTCACCCATCCTGCAGGGCCTAGCAGTAGCGCCCTCACCCAGGACCAGGGGTCTGCACCTCTCTGACCTGTTGAACCCCAGCCTGCCTTGCAGTGGTGGTTCTATCACCTGCACTGGCGTCCAGCTCCACAGCACCGTGGGCAAGGCACAGGGTGGAGGCCTGGCCAGGGGACGCTCACGCTCAGGTCTCCTCTTCTGCTTTCCAGGGCTGTCCAGCTGATCTAACCACGAAGTCAGGGTGGGAGTGATGGCTTAAGCTAACGTGATATGCAAGTGAGGGCCAGGAGCAGGTCCCCCACCTTCAAACACAAGATTGGATGAAGAAACACAACCAATCAAAGAGCAAAGACCTTCATTCCCAGGCCATCGAACTGCAGGGTCTACGACTCCCAGGGCTTTGCTGGGGGACTCAAGGACAGCCTTGCTGCTCTCTGCAGGCCCACCCTGAGAGGGACAGGGCCCTTGCCCACCTGGGTGAGGTGCAATAAACAGGGGAGCAGAAGGGGGAGACAGAAGGCAGAAGAAGAGGGGTGAAGGGTGGGTTCGAGCCACATCCACAGCACAGGAGAGGAAGGGTGCAGAAGGAGACCGGTCTGGCCCCTCCAGGCAGACTGGGAAGCAGATTCTATCACGCCGGTGCCAAAAAGTCTCTGGAAAATTGTCTTAGAGCCACAGAGTCTCAAACTGGAGGGGCCCTCTATCACCCCAACTCCCCAAGATCCTGTGCCTGATGGTCTGTGACACAGTCATCCAGTCTGCACTTGCATGCCTCCAGGGACTGAGAACTCACTACCTACAGAGCCAGGCCATTCCATGTCAGAGGGCTCTGCTGCTAAGGAAGCTCGTCCTTACCCAGAGCTAAATCCGCTTCTCTGTAACTGCGGCCCGCTGATCCCAAGGCTGCCCTCTGGAGCCTCCAGTGAGTTGAATACAGAGACCGCCCTCCCCAGCCGACTGCTCTCTGCTCCTGCTGCCCGATCCGCCCACACCTGCAGTGTGTCCCTCTGACTGCCTGACCCCACGCCTGCGTGTGCCAAAGGCCCCATGAACCAAGGTCCCAGATTTCCCACATTGTCTGACGGCCACAAAGAACCGCGACACCCTGCTCTCCAGCAGGAGCCCCATCTGCGATGACAAAGAGGGTCTAATTTATTCGCGCCGCCCCGCCAGCGCCAGCGCCTCCTCAGCAGCACAGGCGCTCAAGTGGCTCCCGGTGGTGCAGTCGGAAGCGCTCTTCTTCCAAAGCCGAGATGGATTCCAAAGGGACACTCAATCAACGTGTTTTACTTTCGTTCATGTACAGTCATAAATTTTCAATGCGATTTCATCAGTCCCTTTCAGGCCTAAATGAATAAACCAGTAAATCACAATTCATCTTTCTTTCTCCTCACGCTTCCCTCTCTCTCTCTTTCAGTAACTACAATTAAGAAAGTCTGTCTTGGAAATACTGTCTTTGCCACTGATTTCCTGGCAGAAAATAGCACTGCTTTTCTACGGGAGCCTCCTGCTTTTAAAGGGACGTCAAAGCACATTATGGCACGATAAAGGGACATTTAACATTTTATTTATTTATTTATTTTAAAATTTACCCAGAACCCATTCATTCTTTCTGATGTGAAGTTCTAGGTTTTGACAAATGCATACAGTCATGCAACTGCCGTGATAACCAACATATAGAACAGCTTGGTCACCCAAGAAGCTTCCTCATGCTGCTCTTGTCCTAACAGTTTTTTTAATTTTACAATATCTGATTTTAAAGTTAACATATTTCTATCCACAACAGCTCTTTATGATCAATAATCTACTGATAATAATAGTAGTAATGGTAATGCCACGAGCTAACGCAGTGCTTGCTGTTCCTCCTACAGGTATCACCCCTTTGTCTTCCCAGCAATCTCACCAGCTGCCAGGTGGGGGCGCTGCCCAGGGCCACCAGCCTTAAATGGTGGGGTGAGCCTATAGGTCCTGCCACCTGGGCCCAGAACCCAAGCTCTTCTCATCCACTGTGCTAAGACCGTCCTGCCTTTTCCCCAGGGGCCCCTTCCACGCACACGACCCCTTTAATCCTCACGCCAGCCCTGTGAGGTGGGTCCTTTCATTGTCCTTTTACAGATGAGGAAACCAAGGCTCGGAGGGTGAAGTGCCTGGAAGAGGGAGGACTCCAACCCAGGCACCCTGACTCTATTAACTTCCCCACCGTTTTTCAAAGTGAAACATGTGTTATCTATATGGACTCCATCCCAGAATAAGAGACTATGTTCTGTCGGGATTGTGTTGGGGACCCCGAGACAACCCCCGGCTTGGGTGATTTGCTAGGACTCACAGGACTCAGCATAGGGTCGTTCTCGGGCTATGCTTTATTATAGCGGAAGGACACAGAGCAAAATCAGCACAGGGAACAGGCAGGGTGGGGAGAGCCAGGCACAAGCTCCCCAGAGCCCCTTCCAGTGGAGTCACATGGGGTGCAGCAACGAACAGTCACAACTGTGTGGAATGCTGCCCACCAGGGACACTCACGAGACACTCGGTGTCTAGGGTTTCTACTGGGGGCTGGTCACGAAGGCAACCCCTGCCTACTGTGTACCCAAATCCCACACTCCCAGGGGAAAGCAGGTGTTCAGCATAAACCACATCGTTTGTATAGCTGAGGTGCAGTGAGCCACTGTTACCAGTTCTGGCAATGGTGGGAACCCTCCAGAAATCCAAGTCCCCAGACACCAGCCAAGGGCCAACCTTTCCAGCAGGTCTTTCTGAGGATACGGTCTTAGGGCTGCTACATTAGCTTTTTTCTGCACAACAATGGAACCACTCCAAACACCATCCCCAGGGAACAGCTCTTATGAAGATACCCCATGACATGGGCAATGTGTCCCTATGCTAGCAGGACATTCCCAGTTCCTACTGTCCCTAAGGACTCTTTTGAGTGGGGCACTGGAGTGCTCAATGTCATGACTGCCACACGCGGGAGGAACTGTGGCAGGCTGGGGCAGAGCAACCCAGTTTCGAATCCTTTCTCTGCCACATCCCAGTGCTGTGACTTGGCCTCAGTGTCTTCTTCTTTAAAATGGACACAGGAGTCCATCCTCTCCCCGCGCTCACTCGGGAGCCAGGCACACAACCTTACTGATGCCAGAGCCACCACACTGTTGGAACAATCTTTGTGCCTGTTTTGGACAAGAATAATGTGGCTTTCGGGAGGGGGGACAGCTCCTGGTCAACATTCTGCAAAAGTGTCAGCTTCATCTCTCATCTTGTGAATACTTGTTTCCTTCTGCTCGTGCCAACAACAGCCCCGGAAATGCTGGGATGGCACAAATCCACTCATCCAAGTCAAACCAGCAGGTAGCACAGAACAGTCACCCCTGTGTACACGATCACAGGAGGCAGTGCTGTCGGGTGGGCAAAAGTGTACCGGAGGGAGACTCAAATGCCCGGGGGTCCGACCATGTGACCTGGGCAAGCTGCTAATCATTTCCTCTTTATCTGCAAATGACCACTGCCCCGTATCCTCGGGGTGAAGGGAGATAATGGATGTGACTGCGTTATTAACTGTGTGGATCTGTACAAATGAAAGGGATCGATATTATTATTATAGTGTGTGGCGATCTTTCCCCTACCCCATCAATTACAGCAGCCCTTGATGGCTGGAATGAAAAATCTCCCCACATGCCTCTGAGATTTCTTTAAAGTTGATGGCGCTGGGGAAAGAAAGAATATCAAAAGTCATCCCTCAGGACCCTGTCTGCTTGCATTAGAAAGCCCATAGCCAAAGAGTTTAATAATCGATGTGCCGAGCAGCCCTGATAATTTATGCTAACAGTCAGTTACGAGGTGGAACGAGAACGGCTTAATCCCGCTCCCTGCAGCCTCCGCCTCAGATCCCCTCCCTCGGATGAAAGGCTTTTGAGCACGAGGCCCCCTTCTTTGTCCCTCTCACAAAGTGCCATTCGCTGCCTCTTCTGGTTACCTGGTAACACGCGCCTAGCACACATTGAGGTTTCTAAGCGGAGTTGGAATTTCAACCAAGGTGAATTTTCTAAGACTCAGGATTTCAAGCGCTCATTGAAGCTGCAGGGGCTCAATGCCCCAGTGGGTAGCCGTCCGGGACCCCGTTCCTAGCTAATCATCATTCAAAACACGACATCGACTTGCACCCTCCGCCAACGTTAACAAATGGCCGGGGTGCACACGCTGAACAATCCAGCCTTTTAAGGTAATGATAGCAATAATCATAATACTACTACGAATGCCTTGCACGTGAGAAACTGAACCAATAATTTAGTACGGGATGAAGCTTCACCCTTGAGCCTGGCACCGAGCCTGGCAATGATCTATGCCAAACCACTTGGGGGCATCATCTCTTTTCCCAACAGTCCACACCCGCCAAAGGGCCTCCCACCTCCGTGCCTCGGTTCACGCTGTGCCAGCCCCCTTCTCCGCCTAGGGATTTTCTCCCCATCCCTCGAGCCTCCTCTCAGATGCTTCCCCTTCTGTGGGGCTATTCCTGTTCCTTTCAGGAGCCATCATCAGTGCTAACTAGAGGGATGGGGGTAAGCCGGAAGACAGATCCAAATTGAGAAGCCCTCGAGATTCAAGGCCAATGCATGAACAGTACCCTCCTACCCAGGGTGCCAGCAGGCTAGCCACGCATGGCTCTGATCTGAAAACAGCAGGCAAACCCAGGCTGAAGCCGATCACAGCTGGGCCTCACCAGGTGGCTCCAGGGAATTCCCTTCCTCTTGTCTGAGTTTTCCTTCTATTAAATGGGAGTGAGTCCTCCTCAGGGTAGTTGTAAACAGCAAGTAAGAAAGAAGATGGGGCCACGAGCGATTTCCAGCAGTAAAGAATTATTCACATGCTGGTCTTCCATACATGCGCTGATCAAAGGACCACTCTCATTGTCAGGCAATTTGGGGCATTTCAGAGCACAGGAGAAGGGGCAGGATTTAAGCCTGAACACTGCTTCCCCAAGGCCCTCAGAGGCACGTGTGAGAACACATCCCCATACTGTGAGCAATAAATGCTTATTCCATTAAAGTCAAGGTGCTCGGCACTGAAGGAGTCAGGAGGGATCCGGGGAGGGTGATTTTATCGCCAATACCGAAGCAGAACAGCCCTGCTCTGACTCAGTCTGTTTTCCTTCAACCAGGGTCCCCAGGGGCATTATTAAAAAATGCTCCCGCTGTGTCTTCTGAATAAAAGATGGCTCTAGGGCAGCACAGAATGAGGTGCCGCCTCAGCTAGGGAACATGCCCTGTCCACATCCTCATGCTTTACCCGGACACAAGCGCAGGGGGCCACACAAGCACACCAGAACAGGTCTGCGGTGAGTGACACAGATGCCAGTAGGGAAGGGGGGCTGAACTCCAGGGAGGCCTGACATGTCACTAATGAGATCATGAAAAGCAGCTTCTGATTGCTTCCGTTTGGTCCCATGAACAACTTTATTCCCTGGGCCTGTGCCTAGGGTGGGCCCCAGAGCACATAGATCAGAGTGGAGGGGCTGTCACATTTACTTGTCATTTGGTAATTTTCAATGAATTAGGGGTATGGTGTTTCCATCTGCCATCTGGCTGCACTCTGGTAACCATGGCAACCACCATCTGCCTGACTTAATACTATCAGGTCCTGTCCTGAAAGAGCACTGGACAGGGTGTCGGGACCTGGGAGCTGGTCAGCCTTTATGGTCACCCTGGACACGTGCCCTCCCCTGGCGGGGTCTCAGCCTCCTCCTCTGCCTAACAGCAGATTGGGTCTCGATGTCTTTAAGGCGTCTTTCTCTGAGGAACAGAAGACCACTCCAGGGAGGAATTATCTGAGACTATCAGCACTATGTAGACTCTGGGGACCTGGTCAGCATTTCTTATGTCTCCTGTATGTGGAGTTAAAGTGTCACCTGTCTGGAGACAAAGAACTGCCTGTTCATTAACTGCTGAGGAAAGCAGATTGTAAGAACGAGTGACAGGAACTAGAAAAAGGAAAAAGACGAGACTGTTTAAGTGCCCCAGGACAGAAGCAAATTTGCGAAGTGAAAGGGACCTCAACCCTGGCTCCGCAGAGGCTGACACAGCCAGAGAGGGGAAGGGACTGGCCAAAGGTTGCTCAGGGAGCCAGCGGCAGCATGGAAGCTCCCCTAGCCAGCTCTGTCCTCCACTGGGAGCCCAACTAGGAATAGCCAACGGTGACTTTCCTGTGCTCCTGCGGCTGCTTCAGCTTCCCGATGGCAGAACATTGTTTTCATGTTTCCTGGGACAGGAGGCTTCCTGCCCCATCTCCTGTTATGACCCATTAGGTCTCCCGGACTTGAGTATATCTACCTCGAATACTTGGGAGGAAAATAATGTTAGGCACTTCATAAGGCCTGGAAAAGGCCTCACCCCACCCCCAGGCTTCCTTCTTGAAGCTGAAGTCATTACACTGCCTTAGGCATTTAAGTCTGGACTTGGTCTCCAGGCCCAGGCCAGAATTCTTCCCCAGGCTGAACCCCAGGCTGCAAGCCAGGCTCCTTGGGACTCACTGCCCCATCACCCGAAACTCTTCACTGCCCCCTCCAGGCAGAGTACACAGGGGCGGTTCTCCAAAACCTAATGGGCAGGCCACACTCATGCTCCGGAAGCTAGCGGAGCAGGATGCTTCACTGGCCCCCCATACTAATGTTTTGATTTCTTTTTGTTTGGTTTTTAAAAGGTATATATAGAGGGTGGGCAGTTATGTCCCCCAGAGATGGTTTTATGATGTTAATGGAGGTTAAGTTTCTAAATTCCTAGCAATTCATAATTTTCTCTTCCTTTATTTGAGGCAGGACCCTCCAAATTTCATATGTCTTAGACCCACAAAACCTGGGTCTGCCCCTGCCAGCACTATAATATTTTCAGATCTTAGGTCTCCAAAGGTCTTACCTGTCCTGGATAAAAGCTCCCTCAGGATCCTCAGGGGGCCCCACCCCACATCTGAGAACCTGGTGCTCTAGCCTGGTGACTCTTGCGTCCCCAGTCTGGCGTTTCTCCTCCACTGGCATCCTCACCTTCCCTCCTCTCCATTCAAACAACCCACGTGGGGCCGGATATCCAGGAGCTCAGAGCCAGTAAGACACCCTTGCCACCCCATCCCCAACTCCCAGTCTCCTGGGGACAAACATGCCAGGCCTGCAAATAACTGCACCAGCAAGTACTTAAGTACCAAAAGGGGCAGCAGGCTCATCAAATACCCAACTAGTTTCATGGCTGGTGTCTCCATGAGCTTGGCCAGGGCGGGTGCAGGATGTGGATTACTACCCAGTCTCCCTAAGCACTGGGCGAGATGAGAAATACTGCTCCCGAAGGGGAAACTGAGGCCCAGGCATTGCTATCCACTGCTGCCCGGGCGGGGGGATCCTTCGTCCCACACCCCAGAAAGTTGGGTCTCGTTTTCTCTACCCGCCCGAGCCCCACGGAGCCTGAACCCAACTCACCGAACTCGCAGGGGCCATCGCGCACCTTGTGCAGGTGGCCGAGGTGCGCGCGGGGCGAGTGCCGAGCGCGCAGGCGCAGCGCGCAGACGCTGGGGTAGGAGCGGCCGTCCGAGCCACAGACGGCGCCGCGCTGCGCGCACACGCACAGCCCGGTGCCCTCGGGCGCTGCTCCCGCGGCCCGGCTCGCGCACACCAGGCCGGGGCCGCAACGCGCGCCCGCCCGCCCCCCGCAGTTCGCGCCCTCGGCGCCCAGGCAGCGCGCGCAGCAGCCGCACTCGTCGCGCGCCGAGATCCCGGGCGCGGGGCAGCTCGCTGGCGCGGGGCAGCGCTCCGGCCGGCACGGACCGCACTCGGGGCGGCTGCCCGCACCGCGGAGCCCGAAGCACGGGGCCAGCGGCGGCAGCAGCAGAAGCAGCAGCGGGAAGAGCAGCGGCGAGCGCGGCATGGCCTGCTCCGGGACGGCAGTGGCGCCTCTGCTTCGCGCTCCGCTCCGCGCGCGCGGCGCTGCCACCCCTCCCGCCCCGCGCCCGCTGATTGGCCGGGCCCGCACCGCGGGGCGCCCGCAGACAGCTGCACCGCGCCAGGACCAGCGAGGCTCGGCGGGCTCCCGCCTGGCGCGGAGCTCCGAGCTGGAGGGACGTCCTGAGACCAGCTCTCCGACATCGGATTGGACTCCTGGGGAAACCCAGACACAGTCAGGGCGGGAACCTGCTCGAGGTCGCTTCGGTAGAGTCAAGACTGGATGTCCAGTCTCCAGATGCAAGACCAGCTCCAAAATCCTCCGGGAAGGATGCGCTATTTTATTTTATTTTGCATTCAGTAGTTTTCAAGGTTTTATTTTAAAAAGGGAACACATGGTTTAAAAATTCTGTATTACAAATAGATGTAAGGGTGAAAAGAGGGTTTCCCTTTCACCCCGTATCCCAATCTCCCAACCCAGCTTCCAGAGGCCACTCTTGTCAGATTTTTTTGTATCTCTTCAGGAATTTTCTATGCCTATAAAAGCGCT